CCTTGCTTGGATGCGATTGTCTAGTGGTGGTTGGGTGTTTGATCACCTGGGTGAGTTACCTTCGTGATACGTACCGTGTGATCAACCGTCTGGTTTCCGACCTTGTTCGCGGAATACAGATCTGGCATCAGCCAGGACAGAGTAAAGNCTCCCGCCGAATCACCTGTACGTTTTAATTCTCTTTTTGCTTTATTTTTTTGTTTTCTTTCATTCACTTTCCTTCCTTTTTTCCGTCTTTTTCTCATTGTTTTTCCCCTAATCGGTTGACAGGATAACTCGCTATTTTGACGGCTCCTGCGGTTAGGACCTGGTGGGTACCCTTTTTTCTTCTTGTGATCATCAACATTTCCGCGTTCAGCACCATGGAGCTTTGGTAGCCGACCCGAGTTTATACTCATCTCACCTCCAAGGTGAAAGATTGTTATACGTGAGCGTTCATCTTCCCTGCCATATCCCAATATATGGCAGAGCGAAAACAAAAACATGCAACCCGAGTGACCCGCTCCTAATCCTCTTGTTTTCCTAAGTCGCTAGCTGGTCAGACTTCCACTTCAGGAACAAGTTAATACCACCGTTCTTCCAGGGCCGTCTTGAATGCTAGCATGGTCTGCAGTTCTACTAGCGCCACAGGTAGTCTGTTCCATATTTTGACCACCATGTTGCTGGAAAAGTGTGAGTTATCAATCGAGACCGAGCCTTGGCTAGCTTCATTTCGTGCTCCGTTTTACGGGAATCCAGCACTTATTGGAACAAGGTTTCAGGTCTAATATCAGATAAACCATTCATTAGCCTAAATGTTTCTATCATATCTCCCCTGAGCCTTCATTTTCTAAGGGGAAAAGTCCCAGGTCCTGAAGCCCTTGTAGTCTTCACCTCGTTGACCCTAAACCATTTAGTTTCCAGTCGGTGAACGCGCTCTAAACATGCGGCATCCTTTTTGAAGAAGGGTGACCATGCCCGCACACAGTACTCGAGGTGAGGCTTAACGAAAGCTTTGTACAGAAGCACGAACACCTCTGGTTCTCTGTAAGACAGTGCTGATCTCAATTTGAGGAGTTCTCTGCAAACTTTATTCGCGGCTGCTATGCACTGCTGGGCCCAGCGGAGATCGGAGGCTATGAAAATACCCAAGTCCTTAACCCTACTAACCGATTCTGTCGTTAGCAAACCCTGGTCTTGCATTACTGTAAAGCTTTCGGCGGTCCGCGATATCAACTGCATTTGACCAGCATTCAGCGAAAAATCCCACTTCTGTGCCCAGCTGAGGACAGCAGCTGTGTATTTTTAAGG